CCACGCTGGTCAACTGGCTGGACCACTGGCTTGGTTACGGGTTAGCAGATTTCACATGTCTTTCGAAAACTATTTAAGTTACCTCGAAATGAAAGTTTTCTCACGATCTTTTCCTTCACCATAAAACAACTGGTAATCATGTTGAATGCACACTACCCGGGATTTAAACTAGCTACGCTTAGTTTTCCAAGTGAATGCGGTGCCTCTGGGTTACACGCCGATCTAAAAGCATGAAATTTTGCTCTTTATACAGGGTCATTTCTAATTTACTGAAAACCTTTTGGGAATATACTATTTACATCATAACAACAACATCTGTAACAAGAAAAAACAATATTTCTTAAATTTTTATTTTCATACAAATATTAAAATATTTTCTTTTGCACCTTCTAAACTTTAAAGTTCTAGCATCTGGCCAAGTTTAAAGGAGTAAGCGCGGCTTCCTACACCCCTCCACCCCTCCCCCTCCACCCCTCCCACTCCACCGGACACGCACTTTCTTTTGCTAATGCTGGACTATTACCGTTTAGAAGGAGCAATAAAAATACTTTTATTTTTTTTAAATTTAAGATATATTATTTTTTTTTCTAACAGATGTTGTTGTTATGTTATAAATAGTGTATCCCCAAAAGGTTTTCAGTAAATTAAAAATGACCCTGTATAATAACCAACCAAGGATTGAATAATGCATAATAATTCATATCGTCGCTTTTTACATAGAAATATGGAAATGGATGTTTAAGCTTCTCTTCATATTGTCGATGGGAAATCCCATCGGACTCGCGGTTTGTTAGTACACGTTATTGTTACGATTTTGGTTCAGTTTATTTTACATTTATACAAATACTAGCACAATGCCCTGGCTTCATCTGCACGATTTATCTGATATTCATTTTTATTATTTTAAATATTTTTTTTAAAACGTATTACAAATCGGAAATGCCAAATGTCAATTTTTAACCGACGAAAAATGGAATTTAAAGATAGCCTATGTCCATTCTTAGGATGCAATATCTATTGCCGAATTTTATCGAATTCTGTTCAGCAGTTTAAGTGTGAAAATCTAACAGACTGAGTTACTTTCACATTTATAAAATTAGTATGGATAAAGGCGTTCGAAGGAAGGTTGCAAGGGGGTGCACTTGCAGCCCTCTGCCATGAAGGAAAATACATAGAAAAAGTTAAAGAATTAAAATTGTATTAGTAAAATCTGTTTTTAACTTAGATATATGATAAATAATATATGAATATAAATTATAAAGTTAATCATTTAAAGATTAGTTAGTAGTTTAATGTGAAGAAGCAGATGAACCCCCCTACAAATGCCGCTGCCCATGAAATAGATACATACATATAACATAATTGTTCTTACACATAAACTAAAACAAAAAATTGAGGCGAAATAACTCGTAATTCAAATAAAATACCACTCATTAGAATTTAATTATAATTATTAATATTATTTTTTTTTATTATAATTATTCAAACAAAAGCAATTATACGAAACTAACTCTACAAATCTAGATCACGTCGAAACGGTTGATAAAATTTACTACATATAAACGTTAGTTAATGCTTCATGGCACAAATAAATTTTGAACTGATTTACATAGAATTACGATCGTGTACTCAAATAGGTACCATATCATATCCATTTCTAGTTAGGACTGTTAGCTTTATGTACATATTATATAGTACTAGCGACAACCTCGCTTTGCTTGGGTATGTTTAATTTTTTGAGCGAAACACTATTTTTTTCCAAAAAAAAGTTGTAAAGTTACTCCTTATAACATAAGCTATCTGCCAGTAAAAGTCCTGTCAAAATCAGCTGAGCCGTTTCGGAGAAAATAATCGCAATTAATGGACAGATAGACTGACAGACAAAAGTTTGAATTTCTCTTATAAATACTGTATATAATTTCCAAGTTTTTCCGTATAACATCAGCTATCTGCCAGTGAAAGCCTCGTCAAAATCAGTCGAGCCGTTTCGGAGATTAATCGAAATTAACAGACAGACAAAAGTTTGAATTTCTCTTACAAATACTGTATATAATTTCATATATGCATATAGTAAAAAGCTTTTATTTCAACATTACAAACAGACATTTCAATTTTATTTATCTGTATAGAAGATAAAAGTGACGCACTAAAACTGATTACGTTTCGTTATAACAACGCCTATTTACGATGCCGTAAAATAGTACTTTATGTAGACGACCTAGAAATTAACTTGGAAATTATGTATGTATTTTAAGAAAAACTTATGAGATAAAATATTAATAAATAAACACCATAAAACCAAAGTAAAAATTTAGTGCTTAGCAATGATTTTATGTGATATCATCCCTAAGTACATTTTAACGGTTAGTATGGAATAGATGGATTATATATTATATACATAGTTACAAAATAAACAGTTCCGAACTTTTCGATTTTCCAATTGTTTTTTATTTTTTGGGGTTTTCCCTATTTTTTATACTTGTACCACCCCTGACAGACTCCCAACAAAATAAAAAATAATTATTCAAATCGGTCCAGTCGTTTTTGAGTTTTAGCGAGACTAATGAACGGCAATTGATTTTTATATAGACAAAAAAAAATGATGTTTTGAAATACTAGCGACTCACCCTCGCTCCGCTCGGGTTCATCCCTAGTTACGTTTTAACGTTTAGTATAGATATCTCAGAGCTCAGAGATGAGATATTTTCCCACAGTAAAAAGTATCCTATATGTTGACACAGATAACCACCAAATTTCATCAAAATCTGTCCAGTCGTTTTCTCATGATGCGGTAACAGACAGACAGACAAAAAATCTAAGAAATATGTATTCGGCCTCTATATCAATAATAATGTCTATTTCAATAAGATTTTCCAAAATATATATATATATTATATATATATATATATTATATATATATATATATATATATATATATATATATATATATATATATATATATATATTCAATGTACAATGAAGTATTTGACTTGCTATGTAAACTACAAATATACCGGTCACAGATTGATGTTTGTTCCAGCAAACATTTATATCCTCTATTCCCACACTGATCGGTGTAGTGGTTAGGTCAAAGCATGTGAATGTGACATCCCAAACTAGGGTCTACTGTTGAAAACTTGGCAAAACACCAAACAACTGTTGTCTTAAAATTAACGACTGCCAAGGCAAGGTACTCGTAGTAGCTCAGTGGTCTCTTGCTTGGGAAACCCAGTGAAGCGGGTTCATTTACGGGCGAGACCTCTTATATTATATGCGAAATATTTTCAACATAATTACAATTTCTCTTACGTTGAAAGTTAATTCTTTATTTATGCTATGATAAGGTATAGTATACTTCCTTTACCTTATCGTGAGGGAACTTTCTTGCCTGAAGGAATCTAGCAAGTTTGGGAAAGACATGTTTTTAAAAGTAAATACATACATAGTGACTTTAAAAGTAAAAATAACGAGACCTGTAATAAAAATATTATAAAAAATATTTTGTTGTAAGAAGAATATCATTTTAAAGTAAAAATAAACAAAGCCAAATGCAGACTTTGTATTATATCTCAAAACAAACTCGAGAACAAGTAATGCATAAAACATACTAAAACCCCTTTCCAGTTTTCTCTATTCAGAATAAATAACCGCCGGTCACTAAGAACTCTTACACTGCTCTGTTCCTTGTACTTTCTAAAGAAATGATTTTCTGCTGTAGACGCTACGAGACGTCTCCTTAGAAATCTTGAGTGTTAGAAATGAATATTTTGATTTAATTATTCAATAGAATAACAAAAAAAGGCAGTGTTAGCCCAGTGGTAACGCGGTCGCTTGGGAAATCGAATGAAGCAGATTCAAATCCTGTGTCTCGCACCTCTGATATTTTCATGTGCGAATCATTTCTAATATGATTACCACTTGCCTTACGGTGAACGAAAACATCGTGAGGAAACCTGTATGTCAGAGAGAACCTAACAAGTTTTCGAAATTCATGTGAAGTCCGCCAATCCGCAGTTGGCCAGCGTGGTGGACTATGGCCTAAACCCCCTCTTATTGAAGATTCAATAGAAAGGGTTTTCTTAGATGATGTATTGAAATGATTTATGTACATATTTTGTGTTAACATAATTGTCTTAACATTTCTTACCATTTCCATACCATACTTCGTTGAACCATAAGTCTTATATTGGATAAAATATGATATCTATAATTAATCAAAATTTAACATAAAATCTTTACTTCAAAATGGAATATTCAAGCAAAATTATGAATCCCTGCTACCTACAGTCTAAAATGTAATAAATTTTATTTTACTTGTATATTAAAACTAGGACTAAAAATCCTTCTGCTTTATAGATATATATCTATAGAAGAGACAGATATTTAACTTCACTTCAAGTTGGTCATGTCATGTAAAGCAGACTCTCATTTGTAAGTTCCCAGTCAACCCTCGTCAACCTCATTCATCAATCTCACCGAATAAGTTTATGTCTCTTAAGAATGAATAGGATTTGCGTCAAATTTCAATAGTTTACTACGATTGATTGATCTAAATGGCCTCAGCAGCGAATTCTGAGAGTAGCTCTGTACGTATGAAGTAAAATGAAGCACGCTCAAACACAAGTGCATTCTTTATTTCTTTCACGCTTAAAACCCCGATGGGTTGAAACTTTGATCGATCGTGCTCTTCGAGGCACAAGAGATCTAACCGCCAACTTCATAGCTCCTCCAAGATTTTTTTCACTGAAATATCCAATAACTACACTTGACTCAACCTGGAACTAGAACCCAGCACCTTCCGATCTGTAGCCTTACTTACTAATCACTAGACGAACGAAGACCGTTATTATTTAAATATAAAGACGCACCAAAGTGGCTGTATGTAAAAAAATCACATCCATCTAAATGTCCAGACAAACAAAAAAAATATATTTTCTTTTATAACATTAGAAAGAATTACGAATAAATTTGATAGATAAATTATAATCCAATTTTTTCAGGTACTTATAGTGGTGGTGTGGATGATCGTGGCGCCAGCTAGAGCGATGTTCCACTACCCCACGAGGGAGGACAACATGTTAGTGTGCGATTCATACGTCGACGCGTCTTACATGATCGCCTTCTTCTACCCCATTGTACTGATCGTCGTATGCACAGTGTATGCTATACTCACTAGGAAAATACCCGAGGCATTTAATGAGAGCAAGCATATAGGTAAGTCGAAAATTAAAGTTAATTTCCTTATATCCAGAATTAATGTATAGTATATATAAATATATTAATAAACTTAACGAAAGAACGGAGAACGTAATATTTGTATTATACATGGAAAACAAAAACAAACGAATCCCACGGGAATCATACAATTTTCCGGGATAAAAAGTAGCATATGTGTTATTCCAGACTAAAATCTATCTCTGTGCCAAATTTCATCCAGATTCGTTCAGCCGTTCTGGCGTGAAAGAGTAACAAACATCCATACTCACAAACTTTTACATTTATAATATTTATACAGATATACATACTCGTATTGTGCTATAATTTTGACATACAGAATAATATAATTTGACTGGAAATAATTTAAAAACTAAAGATATTTTTCTACAAATAAACCTTATTGAATTTTCCCAGAACAATTTCTCATTATTTTATTTCCGCAATTTGGCCCAAGCGTATTTTTTGTTAAACGTTCATAAAATAAATGACACGAAGAAAATTAGGGTATGGTCGAAGTTTCAGATCATTAAGTATTGAGACCGATTGCAAGGCACCTTTCACATGCATTTCATAGTTTAACTTATTTTATACTAGAAATACTCTAGAAAATCAAAAACAAAACTTTTTCCATTCAAGTTTTAATAAAAAAGATATACTGTAAACTTTTTTCTCTAAGCTGAGCACTTGCTCATATATCAATTTTTACATTTCTAACCTCAAAAATAACGAAGTCTCGTACAAACTTTTTTACTTTAATCCCTTAGAGGATGAATTTCCAAAAATCCATTCTAAGTGAACACTTACGTCACTTAAGGAACATTACGCAAAATTTCATGCTTCTAGATCCAGCGGTTTCTTACTTTATATATATAGAAATTATATACAAATAAATCGCCTTATGAAATACTATAGGTTCATTGCTAGGTTGCTTCCCTATACAAACTTTCATCCCCATTTTTACCCCCCTTAGGGATGATTTCCGGGATAAAAACTATCCTATGTCCTTCCCAGGGTCTCAAACTATCTTCTTACCAAAATTTCATCTAAATCGTTTTAGTAGTTTCGTAGCCTATTCGATACAAACAAATAAACAAAAAAATCTTTCCTCTTTATAATATTAGTATAGATAAAACCTTCTTGAGCGTGTAGACAATAGCTCACTAAAATTTCATCGCTATCGGATGAATGATAATCAAACAAACATTCATACGTTTACACATACATAATAGGTACATATATATGTAGACGATAGGTACCATACTGGTAGCAGACTGATGACATCTTGAATAGTTCCGGCTCGGTTAACGAATCAAATTAAACGTAAATATATTCTTGATTCAAATAGACTATAAGGAATTGAATAGAAATTGTTAATTGAGGCGCTTTGTCTATGAAATTAATTAAAACTATGTCAACGAAACTTCGCTCCAATCAAAAAGCTCGCCAAGCTTTTTAACAGTAAAACACGACAAGTCTCTTGTGAATAAATATATATTTATTACCATTACACTTGCTGTGAAGATCAAAGCTTCCATTATTTATATTTTATATGTATGTATATATACAATATATCATATATCAATCTCACAACAAAGAAAAATGTAACAATAGAATAACAGAATAAAAATTATATATCTACCTACTATGTATGAAAAAACTCTTTGTGCTTTACATGCTTTTAGTGTAGTTTATATATTTGAGCTTTTATTTGTAGTTTCCAATTCTGCCAAAATTGAAAAAATATATTGTTTTGGTGAAATCGCCCTCATTTAGAGCTTTATGAGTTTTAATTCATCAGCGATATCCAACAGACGTAATGACTCCCACGGTCGATAGCTCGACAACAGCATTGAGATGCCTCTGATATTTACCCATTGTAAGCCTGTGTACAATAGAAACTACGCACGAGATCTGGTATCGCTTTTAACCGCAATTTCATTCGAGTATCGATTTCGAATACTCCTAAGTTTTATTGGCATTGAACTTGAGTACGATGGCGGTATCTGTATTAGTTGTTGTCCAACTGTATTAGTTGGACAAATGTTCCCAGATCTTGGTAAGGAGTTTGCATATTGCTTAGAATATTCGAACATTTTCTTTGACATTTTTAAAGTATGTGTTTAAAGATTATAAATTATTTTCATTTTAAACATACATTGACTTATATTAATTTAGAAAAGGTTACAAGGAACAGGTAGAAAGATTTCTACCCTAAGAGATAGATTTTCTCTTGTAATTCACCCAGTCCAGTTTTGAAGTATTATTTCTTAAAATAAGAATTGTCAAGTAATACATTCACAAATATGGTATGGAATTAAACATTTTTTCTTAAATCAAGCAAAATTTTAACTCTCTCATAACCTTTTCCTTTATTTGATACATCAAGCGCTATATATTTTTTAATTTTTTTGTACTTTTTTGTTTGTTTGTCGTTGTGTATCCCTTTTTGGGACACCCAGGTCTATATATATATATATATAATATTTTCTAAATTAATATAAGTCAATGTATGTTTAAAATGAAAATAATTTATAATCTTTAAACACATACTTTAAAAATGTCAAAGAAAATGTTCGAATATTCTATATATATATATATATATATATATATATATATATATATATATATATACTGTATGTATTAAATATATGTCTATATATATTTATTTATTTATTTATTTATTAGGCAAGCCAACGCAACATACAATGTGATATAACACTAAAAATATAAAACAAATTTAAAAAGTATTACACTGTACATCACACTTACAGGCTAGCTCAACATGTAATATAATAAGGCGTTCTCTACTTCCAACCCTAATTCCCACACCCAAACAAAAAACTAAATTAAAGATTAAAAAAAACAGTACAAAATGAAAATAAAAACAAAATTACAGCCATGAACAATAAAAATCATTACTATAGTCTACACAACCATTATAATAAAAAATCAGTACCGTAAGTTAATTGAAAAATGTATTTAAATAAAAAAAAACGACATAATTAATAACCCAAAAATTAACTAAAAATGCAAGTGGCATAACAAACATTTATTTTTCTTTATTGCGAGTGTGTGAAATATTTTTTTAATTTATTCTTAAATGACGTGGCGGAGTCTTTGAAAATGTCAATTTTTGCCTTGCTTAAAAGCAAGTTATAGCTCCTTACGGCTCTGTTTAAAGGAGCAGTTGTGCCTAAGTTAGACTTTACCTTTCGACATTGAAAAGTGCATTTTCTTTTTATATGGGCTCTTGCGTTCTGTCTCGGTATAGAAAACATAATTTTTGTCAATAAATTTTTGCAATCTACTCCTCCACTTATGAGTTTATGTAAAAAACAAACATCTAGCATTGTTCTACGACTTGATAGGGAAAGAGTTTTATAATATCTCAGCATGTCAGTGTAATTATTATTCTCATTTATCTTATTATCTTTATAAGTTAAGTGTCTCAAAAATTTCTTTTGTACTCTCTCTATTCTGTCCTTGTGTACTTGATAGAATGGATTCCATACAACAGAACAGTATTCTAATTTGCTTCTCACCATTGAATTAAATAATACTAATCTGGTTTGTGATTTCTTAAATTCTTTAGTGTTTCTCATAATAAAACCTACTGTTTTTAATGTTACTTTTAATAAATAATCTACATGCGGCACAAAACTTAGCTTATTGTCTATCGTGATGCCTAAATCATTTATTTCTTTTATATTATTTAGTACATCTCCATTTAGGTTATACGCGTAATGAACATTACTTAATTTTCTGCTAAATGTAATAGTGAAACACTTCTGGCAATTTAATTTCAGTTGATTCTTGTTACACCACACAAGCAATCTATTAAGGTCCTGCTGCATTAATAATGAGTCATTTATGTTTTCTATTTTTTTATAAATCTTAAGATCATCTGCGTAGAGATGAAAATGACAATATTTAAAACATTTTACTATGTCGTTAATGAATATTCCGAATAAAATGGGCCCGAGATGAGAGCCTTGTGGTACTCCAGAGGTAGCGATAAATGAATGTGATTGATATCCTCCAATAACTACATTCATCTCCCTATTTATTAAGTATGATTTTAACCAGTCAAGTAACCTGCCATGGATGCCATAGTTGTTAAGTTTTTGGATTAAAATTGAATGATTGACCATATCAAAGGCTTTTGCAAAGTCTGTAGATATACAATCTACTTGGTCACCTTTGTCTAATGACTCCGACAAGTTATCAACAAATAAGGTTAAGTTTGATATGGTCGATCTATTGCTGATAAATCCGTGCTGTTCCTCATGAATCATAGATTTCATATGCCAATTAAGTGATTGACAAATTAGCGTTTCGAAGATTTTACCAAATATTGATAATATACATATTGGTCTATAGTTTGATATTTCCTTTTTGTCGCCATTTTTAAATATAGGAACAACCCGAGCTTTTTTCCACTTTGCCGGAAATTCTCCTTCATCTAAAGATTTCTCGTATATTAATAGCAACGGCTTAGCTAAGAATATTGCGCAACGTTTAGCAAAGATTGGAGGTATATCATCTGGTCCAGCACCTTTATTTGTTTTTAGACTTCTTAATTTACTTACTATTTCAGTTTCCGTAATGTTTATCCTGTGTAAATAAGATTTTTGGAATTCATCCTGAGAAAAATTCATAGACGTTACTCTGCTCGGTGTATATATACTTGAGAAATGATTAGCAAATTGATCACATATGTCTGTTCCGTTGGTAAATGTAGAACCTTTTAGTGTCATAATGGCTGGGTAGTCACATTTATTGGAACGCTTTTCCTTTAAAAATGAATAAAAAAATTTAGGATCAATTGTTATATTGCTCTCCACCCTATCAATGTAATTTTTGTATTCTAAATTAATAAGAAATTCACACCTGTCTCGAAGCAATTTAAATTCAATTTCATCTAATGGGTTTTTATATTTCTTACAACGTATTCTATATTTATTTTTCTCAGCTAGTCTTTTAATTAAGCTGTTAGAGTACCACACAGGATAAAAAGTTTTATTCCTGACACTTCTTTTTGGAATACACCTTTCAATAACTTTGCGTATCTCATTATAGAAAATTTCTGTCATTTCATTTACATTGACACAGTTTTGAAATAGTTGCTCCCAATTTAATTCTGCTAATTTTGCATTAATTATATTATAATCAGCACTTATAAATTTGTATTTCACCATTGTGCTGGGACTTAGTAAGGTATCCTTACAATAAGTTTCGTAATTAATTTCTAAAGGTGGATGATATTTGTCTATTGGACATGCAGAAAATGAACTATATTCTGTACTTATGTTGTTACAATTGCTAAAAACTAGGTCTAAAATTTTTCCATATGAATTACATATACCATTATGTTGAGATAAATTTGTTACTGCCATAAAGTCATTTATTAATGCGCCCACTGTGCTGTTATTATCTGGGGTAAGTTTTTTATGGTTAAACTCTTTGTAAGTCCAATGAATTGCTGGTATATTAAGGTCTCCTATCAGAATGGTACAGGATTGTTCGTTTATAATTTTCTCCACATTATTAATGTAACCTTCAAGTACATCACACTTTAAAGGCGATGGAATATAGACTGCACAAATAGAAACAGGAGTTGAGTCTAGTATAATATTTACCCAAAGGTCTTCATATTTGGTTTCCCAAGAGTTTATCCTAACACTCTTGTACCGTTTAGAAACGGCAATTAGTACTCCTCCTCCGTCCGATTTGCAACTGTCGCTTGATTCACGATCTCGGCGAAAGACAGTGTAACGATTATCAATAACTTCATTGCTAGTTATGCTATTATTTAGCCACGTTTCAGTGAAAATTATAATATCAAAATCACAGCTAAGAATTGCAAGGTAAATAACATTAGTTTTAGTTCGTATGCCTCTTACATTTTGGTAAAAAATCCTTAAGTTCTTTACCATTTGATAAAGAAAAACAACAAACTATTCTAATTTATCCTAAAAAATACAAATTACAAACAGGTCTGAAATACAATAACTGCAAATAAAATAGTTTATTGTAATGTTTTTAAAAACTCTTTCGACTTAACTAGTATTACGTCACTTGATATCGATTTTCGAAGGTAAATATTACCGTTACGTGACCACACAAACCGATACTGTTTTTCTTTTGCGAAAATTCGTGTCGCAGCGTAAATATCCTTTGCCGTTGAAGTTAAATGTTCCGATATATACACTGGCTTCTTATCCCCAGAAATGCCAAGATGTGATGTATTTAATTTACTATCCGGATTACTCTTATTAAATTTTATCACACCTGCTAGGAAACTATCTCGCAGTAAAGGATTGCTAAATTTTACTAGAACCGATCTCGGACGTGATGTCTCTTTATTAATTTTAGCTATGCGTGTACACTTAGAAATTGCACCTTCTGTTAATGGTACATTTATTACTCTTCCGATCTGCTCAATTGTTGTGACTAAATTTTCACTCCTATGTTCTGGCACACAATGTAACTCTAGATTAGTAGCTCTTATTTCTCTCTCCAGATTATTAATTGTGTTATTTTGGGAATTTAACACCTGACGAAGATCGTAATTGTCCTTTTTTAAGCTTGTTATTTCCTTTTTAGCCTCCTCCAACTCTTGCTTAATTGAATCAAAATGACTAGATAAATACTCTAAAGATTGTTTAATACTTTGCAAACCAGTTAGTTCCTCACGTATGCTTTTTAATTCTAAGCTGACTGTTTGAGATAGTACCTCTTTTACTTCGTTCCTTATTGCAGCTAGCCAGTCGCTATGGTTATCGAAATTATCTTTGCTTGTGTTCGCCAGTGGTGGGGATGGCGCTTTATTAATATTGTTCCGATTATTATTATGGCAATTTGGACATGTCCACTGTCCTCGCGTTACTATAGGCTTGTTACCAAAGGATGTTATACACTCTAAATGATATTGAGCTTGGCATTTAACACATTTTATTCTTTTCTGGGTGACAAGTACACTTGCATTGCAGGCACAACATTCATTAGTCATTTTAAAGAAGTGCAGATAAATAATTAAATATTTGAAAAAATATTATTTAGTGTGAGATTCGAACCCGGGTTACTCGAAGCGTTTAATTACAATCTTCTAACAGAGTCCACCGTCAGTTTAACTTTAATTGCGAAATATTCCATATACTGGTAGTTGCTGTCATGAACTTTTATATACGAGTATGTTAATTTTTACATTTGAAGGTAGACATAGCTTATATCACTTGCATATTATATTTTTATCACTTTTACGCTTACAAATAGGCACAGTCTTCAATTGTCAATGATTGTACATAATACTAAAAATCACAAATGTCACAAATTAGTATAATTTAACCAATTTATACACCAAAACATGAATTTAGAAACTGGAAGTGGGCAAAGAACACCCGTTCTGTTTGACGTTTCGACGACGATGATATATAAACAAGTACATAGAAAGATACAAATATACACGACCTTAAAAGAATTTGATTTTTCAACCCATGTACGGAACCCTGAAAAAAATATAGTACAGAAACGTATAGTATAAAATCTGTACAAAAGCAACATTAGTTAAATAATAAGCTTCTTAACAAATGATTAATGTGCCTTCAACGAACGTTGTTTTGTTATTAGTAATCTCCCGCTGTTAACTAGTTTCCAGTGACGTCATCTAATTTTTCTTCCACGTCCCGTTTGTATCTGCGATGTTCAATATATATATATACTAGCGACTCACCCTCGCTACGCTCGGGTTCGTCCCTGGGGTGGGGTCTGGGAGGACCACCCATATCCTTATCACTTAGGGGTATGGAAAATAGATAGTAGCCGATTCTCAGACCTACTGAATACGCATATAAAATTTGTTAAAAATCGGTAAAGCCGTTTCGGAGGAGTACGGTAACTAACATTGTGACATGGAAATTTTATATATTAGAAGATATATATATATATATATATATAAATATATATACGAGCAGAACCCGCGGCTTCGGTCGCGCTAAAACTATAAAAAAACTCTAAAAAGGTAGGTTTCATACAAACTTTCATCCCCTATTTTACTCCCTTATGGGATAAATTTAGAAAAATGGCAAAACATATATTTATTTAATTGTATTTAAGAGCATTAATACTAAGTTTCAAGCAATTCTGATCATACATATTTTTTTGGGTTGTATTATAACGTGTTTCCCCGTGGGAAAGAGATAATCTCCCGCGGTAAAAAGTAGCCTATGTCACTCTTCAGCCTTCAAACTATCTCCACACAAAAACTCACGCCAATCCGTCACTCTTTTTTGACGTGAAAGAAGGACAAACAAACAAATAAACACACTTTCACATTTATAATATTAGTATGGATATACATCTAACTACAACACAACTGCCTCGATAGTGTAGTGGCTAGCATGTACGGCTGCACACCCGGAGGTCCTGGGTTCGAGTCCCTGGTCGGGCTAAGTTTAGTTGGTGAGTCTTTCTGTATATTAAACCTCAGTAACAGCCCGGAGTTGGGAAGTTGGCGGTGCTTCACCCCCGTGTCTCGTGACTCGTGTCGTCGCACCGGAGTATGAGAGTGATAGGAATAGAGAGTGTACGTTGTGTCTGCGCGTACACTTGTGCACTATAATATCTCCTGTGCAGTTGGTTAGTCTCAATGAGACTGGCCGCCGTGGCCGGAATCGGTCAGGAGAACATCACACATGGACATACATATAATATATTACACTAACTATATGTAATGATTTACCTTCATTTGCTGGTCTGTTCCGGTCAAGAAGATGGCATTATATTAGAATAATAACTTTTAAAAATTCTAAAAGAAATGACACTTCCAGTATATTCATTGTTACTGTTAAACTGACCTAAGTACAAAAGTAAAAAAATTGGCGAGTCATAGTTGTATGATGTTTTTTTTAAACCTTCCTTGTTGGTGGCTAGCAGTGCCAAATTTTGGCGTCCTAATTTCAAGTTTTTAGTATATCCACTTGTCTAGTACAGTAATTCTACATAATACTTTCTTAGATTTACGCGAATATTTGACATTTTAAATAAAACTGTCTTTTCGGAATTTATCGCTGATTTATTTTGACCGTGATTGCTGTAAGGCATTCAAAACGTCGGGAATCAAAACTCAAAATAAATCCGCAAAAAAAATCCGAAAAATACTTTTATTTAAAATATTCTGGGTCTAGTAAGGGGAAGTTGGGAAGGTCTCAGTGTACAATATACTCGTATACCATATTTCTGAAGGAGAGCATGTAAAATTGCTCCTACACCTGACCTCTCACCGGTCATACGAGATTGCTGACAACAGTTTGTATGAAATAATTCAAACAAAATAAAGGCATACCTTTTAAATAGCCCGTTAAATACAATAAACGTCTATTCACTACGATATTCCCACTTCCATGGTCGGTGTCACAATACCGTTTTGTATGGAAATGTAATAATGGTGAATTTCCAAGTTGGCTGGCATTCTGAGAGTTGGGGTGCTGAGATATCTTATAATGTAATAAGATATTCATAGCTTTTAAGTTTATTTTATCTATTCCGTAGTATTTTGCGAAGAAAATTTTGTATATATTTCTCTCTGACTGCGGAGTCAGTCTAATATAAAGTAGCAACTATACAATATGTATACAAACATATATACATACACTTAAAAACGTACATACGTAATTATTATACGTATATAGCTAGTTACCGATTGTCCCGGTTTTATTCAGAATGATAAATCTCGATAATCTTGGACGTCATCAGATTTTTTTCCAGGTCTGGAAGCAACAACTCACTTTCAAGTTATACAAAACGATCAATTACCAACGGACACACAGACGAACATTTATTTATTTTTACATATTTGGACTAGTAAAGATACGCGATTATCATAAAAAACGAAAGAAAGAAAAACTTTAACATGAATTAGGCGGAAGTTTTTCTTTCTGGATTTTTTGATTTGGATGCAAGATCAATTGGAAACTAATTTTAATATATATTTTATTGATTTTAAAAATCTTACTGAATCTAATCTAAACATTGAATATTTTTTGGAAAATTTTATTGAAATAGTCATTATTTTCGATACGAAGGCCAAATTTATAGTTTTTAGAAATTTTGTCTGTCTGTCTGGAAACGAGAAAAGCACTGGACAGATTTAGATGAAATTTAGTATGATGATAACTGGTTATCCGAGTTAACATATAGGATACTTTTTACTGCGGAAAAATATCTCATCTCTGAGAAATCGAAAAATACTAAACGTTTAAACGTAACTAGGGACAAGCCCGGGCAAAGCGAGGATGAGTCGCTAGTCTCATATAAATTTCAAAAATAAAATTTCAACTAAAAGTAGAACAATTGCTTTTAAAAGTTATTTTAAGTCAGTGTAAAGTACACAAAGGTGTTTCTTTAAGTTAAAAAGAAAGAAAAGTAAATACGTTTAAATATCTATTTACCTGTTCTTTGCATACCTAAATAAAAAACCGTCCAAGTGCGAGTCGAACTCGCGCACGAAGGGTTCCGTACCATTATCTACAAAAACGGAAAAAAAACACGTTTGTTGTATGGGAGCCCCCCTTAAATATTTGTTTTATTTTAATTTAAATATTTATTTTTAAAGTGAATATATAACTCAATATTCTATGAATATTTCAAGAGTCTATTGCCGTTATCAATATCGAGCAAAAACGAGGAAAAAAATCAAGTTTGTTGTATGTGAGCCGTCTTAAATATTTATTTCATTCTGTTTTTTAGTATTTATTCTTATAGCGGCAACAGAAATACATCATCTGTGAAAATTTCAACTGTCTAACTAAGGTTCATGAGATACAGCCTGGTGACAGACGGACAGAGAGACAGACGGACAGAGAGACAGACGGACGGACGAAGAGCGGAATCTTAGTAATAGGATCCCGTTTTACCCTTTGGGTACGGAACCTTTAAAAAACAGTACGTCCGAATTCTACCTAGAAACACTAATGCCCGATTTCACCGACAACCCATAAGCTACCACCTACGTATGGGATCCCTAGCTTAAAAGTCCCCTAAATTAGCCCCTAAATTAAATTTCGTTTTAACATCGTCTTCAAGCCCATATTTCGAGCACCTAAATATAGGGGGCTTTTTAATATTTAGGTGACCCCTAACTGTCGGTGAAACAGAAACTGTCCCCTAACAGCCCCCTAACCATGCTTAGGGGATCCCTTAAACTTAGGTGACGTTGGTGAAATCGGGCATAACACTTGTAGTAACAAACACTAGCTAACATGACAAAATATAAATTTAGCGTAGCAAGAACGTGACGTTTAAATGAAACTCCTAACAATGGCGAGCTTAATTGAGTTTTATACTTCTGCAGTTGAATTAAAATAGATGGAAAAATATGAAAATTTAAATCCGAGCATTCTTTCGCTTTTGAACTTAAGAAAGTTTTTTAAAGTGAATTGTTTATACAAGTAAATCAAATGTACGATCTTCGACGGGTTTTTCAGGTTTTATGTTTTTAATTTCAAAATAGCTATAACTAACGGAACTAATATTTCGTTGATCTTCCAAATACTGAAACTTAAATCCTTTCAAAAGGTTTTATCAATCTGTATCTGTTCGTAGTGAATCTTGAAACAACTATTTAGCGCCGCAATACGCAAGCAAACCTGCAAGTGATAGCTAGTTTGATAATAATCTATACATATTATAATAAAAGTACCTGGGCGACCGAGCCTTGCTCGGAGTGTTTGGCCAAAAAAAACATTAAAAAAAACAAACTAAGAATTTGAATAACTACAAAAAAAACAAAATTAAAAATTTTGTGTCCGACCGGGATACGAACCCAGACACCTGTGGTTGTCAAATTTGCACATTGGCCGCTTGTCCATGATGCTTATATTTGAGCATGCGAAATTATCGAACATAATATTTTGCATGGAATTATTAATTATTAATTTATTGAAATAATGCAAAAAGAATCATAATAATAATAAAGCTCTATTTATTTATTCATTTATTTATTATAAAGGCTTA